TTGAATCCTAGGAAAACAGATGATTTCTTTCAGTTTCCCTTTTTTAATGCCTAACCTAATACTATTATAATTTTTTGCCTGATCCAGAAAAATAAAGAGTAATTTAAGAGTGGAATCTGGGCCTTCCCTGGTGGCGCAGTGGTTACAAATCTGCCTGCCAAGGCAGGGGACATGGGTTCGAGCCCTTGTCCGGAAGATCCCACATGCCGTGGAGCAACTAAGCCCGTGTGCCACAGCTACTGAGCCTGCGCTCTAGAGCTCACAAGCCACAACTACTGAGCCCACGTGCCACAACTACTGAAGCTCGCGTGCCTAGAGCCCGTGCTCCACAATAAGAAAAGCCACTGCAATGAGAAGCCTGCGCACCACAACGAAGAGTAGCCCCCGCTCACCACAACTAGAGAAAGACCACCTGCAGCAACGAAGACCCAACACAGCCAAAAATTAAAAAAAAAAAAAAAGGCATCAAGGCGGAGACTTCCCTGGCAGCCCAGTGGTTAAGACTCCATGCTTCCACTGCATGGAGCCCAGGTTTGATCCCTGGTCGGGGAACTAAGATCCCATATGCTGCCCGCGATGTGGCCAAAAAAAAAAAAAAGAGTGGAATGTTATTAGAGCTACACCTGCCTCTTGACCTAGTTTACCCATCAGAAGTTTAGTAGCAGTACTGGCTCTCATTGCTTATTTCACTCTGAACTTGCGGGGATCAGAATATGCCACCCCAAAACATGCTCCTTTGACATAAAAATTATTTTGAGGTGAAGACAATTAAGAAACAGCAGATACAGGAGGAACTCTGCTCTCCCCCTTTCTACCTAAAAGCAAAGCTTAAATTTCCCTTTATGAAGGTGTTTCCCACCGTTATCCTGTACCAGCAGCAGAAAAACCCTTATCACTGGAGATGGAAATGTAGCACTGAGATGAATCTGCACAAAAAAACCTTATTAAAGTAACCCTTATCGTCCATTAGTTTCCCCCCATATATTTACCTTCCCACAATTTACTGCCTCTAGAAGCCCAAACCCCCTTTCCTTTGTCTAGTCATTTTTCCACAATTTGTCACACTTTGTTAAGTTGGCATTAAGCTCCCAGGCCTAAGAGTTCCTTTTTTTCCCCACTTCTTTTCTGTGACACTCATGTGTGCATATGAAATAAACCTTTTCTCCCATAATCTGTCCATTTTCTGTTTAATTTGCAGGCCCCAGCTACTGAACATAAATGGGAAGAGAGAAGGTTTTTCCTCCCCTAATACAATACAGAGCAAAGTCATTTCATACCTGAGTTTCTTAACAGTTTAAAGTGATAAACTCCATCAAAGAAAAGTGAACTCTCAGGTACACCAACACAGGTCACTCATCTTGAAAATACCCATTTGCTAGGAAGGGACCTACTCCATTGTATCACAGAACAGAAAAAAAAAAAAAAAAGCATCCAGGAAAAGGAAAACTGAGGAGGAGTCAGGAGATCAAGGCAAACAGTCACACCATATAGACCCCCATGGAAGGCTCTTACTCCAGAAGCATGAAATTATGAAACCAGGAAATGAATGACTCTAGGACCAAACTCATTACCACCTGATGCCCACAACTGTGCAGGGTTCTCCTGATTCATTCTAATGCTTCCATAGGGTTAAAGTCTTCGCACAGTTCCTGCTCTCCATGAAACCCCCAGCTCTGAGTTGGGCTCAGGTACACCAGAATCAGAATGGGGCTCTTTAAAAATACACCTGCTGGGGCTTCACTCCAGACCTACTAGATCAGGAGCTCTGAAGTGGAGACCCACCTAGTGGACAAGTGCTTTTAAAGTAAATAGTGACTGTTTCTTAAAAGGCAGAAGTAGGAAGGTTCCTCCCCTGCAGCTGAGAAGAATGCTTAAAAATGTTCATCAAATCATAAATTACTCCACACAATTACAAAGAAGCCATGGTTTGGCTGCTAATTAGCATAGCTAATAACCTATGCTAATTCCATAGGTTATTCTACACTTGGTTTGTTTTCAACCACATTTTAATTGACATTCAATTTGCTCCTTGGTAAAAATGAGGGTCCTGGGCTGGAACAATGCTTCTAAATTTCTATAAGGATTTGTGTAAGTTGGATCCTTAATGAAATGAAAGCAATGGGGCCCATGCTCCGTTTTTATAAAGCTAAAAGTATTCAATTTAAAGGACAGTCAGGACTTCCCTGGCAGTCCAGTGGTTAGGACTCTCTGCTTCCACTGCAGGGGACACGGGTTTGATCCTGGTGGAGGAACTAAGATCCTGCAAGCCACGTGGCAGCCCCCACCCCCGCAAAAAAGAGTTAAATAAATAAAGAGCTGTCCCTTACTTGAAATTATAAGCTGCCTACTTTTAATCAAAAAATCGTTCTTGATAAAAATGATAGTGATAGAAGAATTTTTTTTAATGGTCATTACTCTAAAAAAATTAAGTCAGCAAGCTTATGTAAGTGTTTCCTATTAAAAAAACAAACAAAAAACAACTATAGTCAGACTGGATTAGTAGATCTCCAAAATCACTTCCAACTCCATCAGTCCATGAGTCTAAGTTTTCATGGAGGAAGGCGAAAAACAAAATCTTGTATTCACAGCAACTTAAAAATTTTACCAAGCTTTAGAATTAACATACATTAATTAACATTTAGGGAAAAAAAAAATCCTGGTTGGAGAGTCAACAGTAAAGAAGCTTCTGACTTTCCCAAGGGACATTTCTCAACAGTATCTCGAGTACAAAGCCACTTTTATCCTGTCACTCTCCTGCTCAGAAGCCTTCCACAGTTCACTGTGCTTCCAGAAACTCGACCTTTTTACTACCACCTGACCATCAGCTTTATAGGAGACACCCTCTGCTCCAGTCAAATTTGATTACACAACATACCTTGCTTCTGTGCCTCTGTGCCTGACCTACCCTGTCAAAAAATGATATTCATCCAGTTCAAGTTCACAAAGATACTATCTCCATCCCAAAACTATCCAATGTGCCCAAGCAGAAGTGATAATTACACTCTTCTCTCAACTACCATAACAGCAATTAACATAGACCCCCTCACTCAGGGGTTGACTGTCCACATTTTGCTTCCCCCCACCTTATCGCAAATTCCTTGAGGGAAGGGACCTTTGTCTTACAAATGTTGGTATCTACCCTTTTATCTCAACCAGCCCCAATCCAAATACTTAGCACTTAGATTAGGAGAAGTGAAGACAGGAACAAATGAAATGTGCTTCAGAACGCCTCAATTTTCCCTAACACCTGTTTGGAAATCACTGCACTAAGAAGTTTATTAATGCACCTGTGGATAACCCAGACAACTAGAATCCTGAGACAAATCTAAACAGGTCTTATCAGTTGGTTTTATCTTCTCTGATATTCTGAGGCATACTACATCCTTCCTTGAATTTCAAAACCAAAAGAAGAGCCCAAATGCGATGAAATAAAAATATTAAATAGGGGATTTACCCCAAGAGATCAATGCTTACTAAAAAATAAAAGTTGCTGCAGCATAATGAGATAAGCAAGGCCAGGCACTCTATAAGGAAGCAGTAAATGGTTGACTCCTAAGCTGTCCTTTATTTGCTCTCGGAAGCAGTGGATCTCTCAAAGCATTCACGTTCTAACAGGAACCTAAAAATGGGGTCAGCCCCTTCTTGATTAATACCAGTGGAACCAGGCAACGATGAAGGCTGCCACAAGCTGATTATGACACACATGGCGAAGGAGGAAAACAGAAAAGTAGAGAGGGACAAAGATGAGCAGTTATCAAGTGATGTCACCAGTTGTCCGGGGGGCCTCTTAGTGACACCCCTCCATCTGCTTTCTGCAGAGCCAGACTTCTCCTAAGAGTCTGTCTAGACTAAGGTGTCAAGGTGCAAGTTGATAATTAACAGGGATTTTTCCTTTCCTCGTTCCCACTTCCGTTTTGAACTTAAAAAGTGAGCACGGGACACTGGAGACAGCCCTTTCACAGCTGTTGATTTTGAGTTTCATTCACATACGGTTATTGAGCAAGCTCTTTGTTAAGGCGATGAGAGCTTGCAAACATATGAACCCATTTCTGCCCTTAAGGAGTTCCCAGCGTAGTGTAATTTAAGCATCCCTCTCCAAAGGAACTTTGAGAACTCCATGCCCAAGCCCAGGTTACACTCGGATACAACATTTTAATACTAACAGCAAGTATCTCGCCCAAGTCTTGTGACAGAAGAGCCCACACCAATAACTTGGGAACTAAACTTATTTTTTAAAGTAATAGTTCCTCAATCGCAGGATTTACAACCCTCTTTTGGGGGGAGGTAGTTTAAAAATCCCTCCAAAACAAAAGGGCTGTTAATTCATTTAACGATAAGTCCTACATCAATGTCAACTGTAGTTGGTGATTCTCAACCTTGGCTGCAATTAAGAATCACCCAGAGCCGAGGCTGCACCCAAGCAGCAGAATTTTTTCAACTCCTCAGGTGATTCAAATGTGCAGCCAACAGTGAGAACCGCTAATGTAAATTCTGCCCTTGAAACTGAAGGGAGAGGACCGGGATCCTTATTCAGTGACACGGGCTCCATCCTCCCTTCCCCTCTCCCCACAGAGACTCAGACCAGCTGCAACTACTCTAGATGCAGTTTTATGTTTCATGGATCTGGTGATGAAATCAAGCATGGAACCCTTCCACCTTGAGGAGTGAGTATGCAGGAAAGTTATGTTAGATTTCACCATCTCCGGCCAGCGTTATTATGATACCTGCGCTGGAACAGACGCAGGCTCAGCTTCGGGGTCCGCGGAAAAGCCCCTTTACACTTGTCTCATCAAACCCCGCTGGGATCCTGACTCCGACCCGCGTGGGAAAGCGGACAGCGCAGAACTGGGGGCCCATCCTCGGGGAGTCGGGGGAGGTCGCACTAGGCAAGAGCACAGGCTGTTCCTGCAGAGAGAGGCTGAGACAAAGCGGGGCGGCGGGACGCGGCGCTGCAGGAACCTAGGCAAGAAGAGAAGCGGCGGGAGCGAGCGGGTACTCACGCAAGTGCCGCCCAGCTTGTGGCTCTCCACCACGGCGGCCCGGGCGCCCAGCTCGGCCGCCCGGCGCGCGCTGGCCAACCCGCCCGAGCCGCCCCCGATCACCAGGTAGTCGTAGCAGGCCGCGACGCCGGCGGCGGGCGGCGGGCACGAAGACTGCGGCTCCTGCCTAAACGCCATGGCGCGGGAGAGGGCGCAGGCAGCCCGGGCCCAAGGAGGCGCGTAGCCGGCGAAGGTGCGCGTCGCCTGCCTCCAGCTGAGTCCCTCGCTCGCGCTCAGAGTCCGGGCCGGCAGGGCCATGCACGCGGAAGTGCGCGCCGCGGGGGTGCGGCCCGTGGGCGGGCCCGGGGAAGGAGGGGCGAGCGCGGGGCCGGCGCAGCCTCACGGTGACTAAGCACTCAGCCGGCGTGCGGGGCGGGCTGGCGATGGGGCTACCCGGCTCGGCCGGACCGGGGCAGGGGGAGTCGCCCCACTCCGTCCCGCTGTGCGCGAGCCAGCCCTCCCTGCCCCAAGGGAGGGTCTGTTTTCTGGGAACTCTCCGCTTCCTTCTTCACCCCAGCACCTGGGTCCCCGCGCCCGAGTGGCATCAGCAGAATGTAGGTTTCTGAAGGCTGATGGGGCGAGGAAGGATAAACGCCCTCTTTTGTTCCCCCAGCCTTTTCTGAGCGGGCCCTTTGGGAGCTGCCAGTGGCGCCGACTTCTCCAGGAAGGGAGACTTGCCCACCATCATTTTGAGGGTGATGTTTCTCAAGGTTTGATCCGCAGACCACCTGATCCCTGGGCCCTAACCCAGATCTACTAAATCGGACCCTCTGGAGCAGGACCCCAGCAATCTACATTTTAAACACCCCCCACCCCGGCTTTCAGCATATTTAATTTGGGAGGCTTTGGAACAAATGTATTTGTGATCCACAGATGAAGCATAAAGATAGCATAGAGATGGAGACACAAAAGCATTTTCCTCCCAAGCTGTAGAGACTGGGGTGTCATTTTAGAATATCTGGAGCAACCAATTGCACAACAAAGTAGTAAGTCAGTCAGTTTGTGTGGCTGACGCCCATCACCCACAAGGCTGTGAGCACTGGAGGCAAAGGAGTAAAGGTCCGGGTCTCAGAAGCTAGGCCCAGCTCGCTGAAGGGGAAGGGGGACCAACCGCACGCCAGTTAGAATGGTATCCAGTTATTTTTTTAAGTTTTTTGTATGTTTTGTTTTCCTGATTAAAAAGTAATAGAGGGAAAAAAGGGAAAGATCCTCCTTCCACTAGGCTGCCATGTAATAAATGTAGACGAAACAAGAGTTAGAAAAATCATCACTTTACAACTATCATAGTGATCACTGTCATTAAACATCAGTGAATGTTAAAACCACTGGGTGAAAGTTTGATGAGGAAAAGGTTGTTTACAGTCAGACTATGTCCCCACAGATTGCTTATTGATCACAAAGGGGAAAATGGTGGCTTTACAGTGGGCCACACACCACCTTGTCCCAGTGGTCAAAGGTGAATATTGCTGGGAATGAGACAGCTGTCATCGTGTGCCTGGTGATGTGATGCAGTAAGAAGTATACAACTTCACTTACGTAATATTCCTGCTAAAAATCCATAACCTGAGTCTATTCGTGAGGTAACACTCAGGAAAAGCCACATTGAGGGAAATTTTCAAATAACTGGCCTGTACTCCTTAAAAGCTGTCAATGCCTTGAAAACAAAACAAGGCTTCAACTTCCCTGGTGGTGCAGTGGTTAAGAATCCGCCTGCCAATTCAGGGGACATGGGTTCGAGCCCTGGTCCGGGAAGATCCCATGTGCCGCGGAGCAGCTAAGCCCGTGCGCCACAACTACTGAAGCCCGCGCGCCTAGAGCCCGTGCTCCACAACAAGAGAAGCCACCGCAATGAGAAGCCTGCGCACTACAACAAAGAGTAGCCCCTGCTCTCAGCAACTAGAGAAACCCCACACGCAGCAACGAAGACCCAACACAGCCAAGAATAAATAAATAAATTTTTTAAAACTTAAAAAAAAAAACGAGGCTAAGGAACTATTCCAGGTTAAAGAAGATTGAAAAATTATGAGAATGAAAGGCAAAGTTTGATCCTGAATGGGATTCTGGATGGGGAAATTTTCCTATAAAGGATGATTGGGGAAATTTGAATATGGCCTGTATAATATATAATGATACTACATCAATGTTAAGTTTCCTGAGTTTGAGAATTGTACTGTGGCTAAATAAGAGAATATCCTTGTTCTTAAGAAATATGCACAAGTATCTAGGAGTAAAGAGTCTGAGTCAGAGAAACTTGGTTTCATATCCCCCCATAGGTGCTGTCATAGTCACTTAATCCCTCTGAGAGTCAGTTTCTTCGCGTGAAGTAGGAAGGCTGACAAAAAGGAGACAGGCTTGTCAAACAATAGCTTACAGTGGAGGAAATGAGCTAGCAGTAACTGGAGGAAGTAAGCGGAGCAGTGCCGACCAGCTGAACTGTAGGCAACTTAAAGGGGGATAATGGGAGGTGGGTGGAGTCCTGGAAAGCCTTGCTAGTAACCAGGGTAAGGTGTTTAGACATTACTCCAGAGGCAATAAGGAGTCTCTGGAGATTTCTCAGGGGTGTCTTTCCCTGGAAATAGATGAAATGGATTGGAAATTGTGAAACTGGCAGTGTAGGAGGCAAAGGTAATAGGTGGCAGTATTAAGAACAGGCAGGAAGAAACAGATTGGACAGACATAAGGAAGTGAAATTGACAGGGTATGAGTCAAAGATGACAAGCCTTGAACCAGGAGATAGGGAAGGACAATGATGCCATAAAGCAAACGTAAAGAAGATGAAAGGAGGTCTACATCTCTGCTAGTTTTAACAGAGGAAAGAACTTTTCGTCAACATTTTCATTAAATACATAATCCCATGCAATATGTTGAAACCAAAGGTTCATAAGGTATTATTTGGGACTATAATATTTTACATTCATGTAAATGTTTTTCCTGTTTGAACTTCTGACTTAGGTGGGAAGGGGAACGGGTAGACACTTGAAGACTTCAGACTGTATCTAAACTTTCTCTTCTTCAAGCAAAGAAATATCAGCTAAAGTAAAAATTTAGTCAATGTAGTTAATAAGAGGTAGTTTCAGGATATTAAATGCTGAGAATGAAAATCGACTAAGTTATCATTCAAGTGCGCAGTCTTATGACGTCATTATAAACTAGCGTGATTTGTGAGGGACAGCAGAGCCCTGAGGGATTATTTCACATTTTAATAATTCCATCATTAAATTTTTCTTTTGAACACTATACAAATTTAGGTGATTTCCACAAAGACACTGAAATATTTGGCAAAATAATAAGCCAACGATTAGTATAGATTGAACTAAGCACTGTCCTTAAGAACTTTATTAGGCACGATGCTAAGAGCTTTCTGTTACCCCCTCCTCAACCCAAGAAATAAATACTATTATTACCCCCATTTTGTAAATAGACTAAGGCTCAAAGACAGTAAATGACTTAATAACTTGTATTAGATTACACAGCTGGTGAATGGCAGAGCTAGGATTCAAATCCTGGAGGCCTGACTCTGAAGCCTATTCTCTTAACCATTACTGGAAAGAAACCATCAAAGATATTGTCCTATGGTGAAAATACAAGATCCAAGATTTTTTTAATGGTATTTTTTGAAGGGGAAAATGTTGAACATCACTTATTTCATTTAAAAAATTGTAGCCTCTGGGTTTCCCTGGTGGCGCAGTGGTTGGTACTCCACCTGCTGGTGTAGGGGACACGGGTTCGTGCTCCGGTCTGGAAGGATCCCACATGCCGTGGAGCGGCTGGGCCCGTGGGCCATGGCCGCTGGGCCTGCGCGTGCGGAGACTGTGCTCTGCAGCGGGAGAGGCCGCAGCGGTGAGAGGCCCGCGTACCGCAAAAAAAAAAAAAAAAAAAATTGTAACCTGTCTCCCTCTGAATTTTTTTTTTAATATTTACATGATGCAAATGCCACACACTGTTCTAGATCCTTTAATATTTTATTCATTTATTTATTTTAAAATTTTTTGGCTGCATTGGGTCTTCGTTACTGCATGCCGGCTTTTCTCTAGTTGCTGCGAGTGGGGGCTACTCTTCGTTGCGGTGCGTGGGCTTCTTATTGCGGTAGCTTCTCTTGTTGCGGAGCACAGGGTCTAGGCACGCAGGCTTCAGTAGTTGCGGCTCGCGGGCTCTAGAGCGCAGGCTCAGTAGTTGTGGCGCACGGGCTTAGTTGCTCTATGGCATGTGGGATCTTCTCAGACCAGGGCTCGAACCCGTGTCCCCTGCATTGGAAGGTGGATTCTTAACCACTGAGCCACCAGGGAAGTCCCTCCCTCTGCATTTTTTCCTAAAGTGTAATTTATTGGAAATGTATTCATGTCTCATAAGTAACTCATTGATATTACAACTCTGTGTTCTTTTAAGGTTATAGGTCAAGAGCTATTATGTTAGAAGGAAGGTGGAAATGGTACTTTTATAGAAGTACTTTTATAGGTTGTTTATAGACAATCTGCGAAGTCTGTACAGGAAATAGTAGTACGTAGAGAAGCTTGCACATCTAGGTTGCTCAATGAAATGTATTTCTCATGACGCATATATGAAAATAATTTCAGTCATTTATAAGAAGGATAAATATAATACGAGAAAAGGAATTAAATAAAGATTACTAAATTGCAGTTTCATTGTTTAATACTGAGGCAACGAATAAACACTGAAAAGACAGACAACAATAATTATAACTGAATGTGAGATTAACAAAAAGCAAATTTTACAATAAGAGGAAGGAATCTTTCCAAGGGAAACAGCAAGTCTGCTTTGTTGGAAAATGGGCTACTACCTTGGAAGACACGTCTAGAGAGAAACCACACATGCACTGATTAGCTCTTTCACGCTTTTGATCTCGAATTTTTTACCAATGTGTTTTCAAAGAATATGGGTGGGGGAGATCATAAAAAAGCTTTAGAAATAACACTAATATACCTATTCTGGATCTAAATATGTATTATGATTTCTGTAATTACTTTTTTTTTTTTACACTGTACATTTCATCCCCATTACTTATTTATTTTGTAACTGGAAGTTTATGCCTCTAAATCTCCCTCACCTATCTCGCTCATCTCCCCATCCCCTCCCACTCTGGCAGCCACCTGTTTCTTCTCCATGTATATGACTGTTTCTGTTTTGTTTGTTCATTTGTTTTGTTTTTTAGATTCTACATAAAAGAGAAATCATACAATATTTGTCTTTCTCTGCCTGACTTATTTCACATAGCATAGTACCCTCCAGGTCCATCCATGTTATTGCAAATGGCAAGATTTCATTCTTTTTTATGGCTGGGTAATATTCCATTTTATATATATATTTTTTATCCATTCA